GTGTATCCCAAGAGGCGTCATCTAACCCGTCCACCGTGCTCTCCATCTCCTGTTTGAGTGCCTGGTAGAGCAGTACAACCGAGATGCGATGTTTAAGGCTACATCACCACTTCAGACAATATCATGTAAGGGTTGCACTGACAGCTCCTTTTGCATTTCCTCCAAGTCAGGATCATTGAGCATACTGTGGGAGGCATTCCTCACACAAGCTAGTCCATCCGCCAAAGTGGCGTTGGAAAACGAATTAGTAATGCCAGAAAACATGGCTACTGCTTCACAAAGCAGTCTGATCCAAAACAGCCTAAGTTAAAGCATGATGACATGCCACATGGTCAGCAGAAAAGCGCCTGAATGTCTAATTAGGAGTTGGGGTGTTCATAAGGGATCCCACAAAGAACCCATGGAGGAGAAAAAAATAGAACCAGTTGAGTGCCCATAGGTCCTGCAATAGGCGATCCTAGGATACTTCACAGGAAGGAAAAAACGCCCGAATTTGAACGAGTTAGGGTGCTTGTAGGGGATCCCAGGATGACTCATGGGAGGGAAAATCGCCCGAATTCCAAGGAGCCCAGAAGGGAAACACGCCCGAATTTCTAGGAGTTAGGGGGATGACAGGGGCGCCTGGGAATGACCCACGGGGATTTACGCCCGAATATTGGGGATTTACGCCCGAATATTGGGGATTTACGCCCGAGCATTTTGCACGAAATTCCTTGACACCAAGCGGCTCAGCCAGAGTTTCGAGAATTTCTCGAATTAATTCTGGGTCAACATTACGAATTTCACGTAAGCTTGTGTTTCAAACTGCAGGCTGTCTGGGGCCCTTAATAAGGCCAACGCCTACAAACACAAGCTTTCTTGCGGTGCTCCACCAAGGTCTTTGATGCTTAGTTTACCCAAATGTTCAAGGTTTTGAAGCTTTGTTTACCCCAAAGTCCATGGGACCCTGTCCTGATACTAGTCACTATCACTCAGGGAGCAGGAGCAAGGCTTTCAAATCGGGAGACATCTCCAAATGCTTGCTACCTCTAAGGTAGTCAAAAGTGTAAAACAGCTCCGCTTCCTGAAAAGGACACCTCTCCGGGACTGGCCTTGCGTTGACTTGCTGAAGCACGCAGCGCATGGTCTGGCTTGGGACCTCGGCTTAAATAGTGTCCCAAATAGGAAAGCAAGTAGGCATTGCCGAAGACAGAAAGATCCATTTACACCCCCAGAAGCAGTTTTAAGATTTAGGGTTTAGGGTGTATAGGGTTTAGGTTGAGGATTTTAAAATTTAGTGTTTCACCTTAAAGCAAACACCGCAATCACCACCTAGTACAGAAAGACTGGCGCCCCCATAAGCAAAACCCCAGCTATGGACTTTCTTTGAACTAGAAGCAACCACCGCCACTAGAGCCCAACACAGAAGACCGACGCCCCCATAAGCAAAACCCAGCTATGTATTTTCTTTCAGGTCAAAGCAACCGCTGCGACTACATCCCACTACATAAGACTGACCGTAAGCGAAACTCAGCTATGGACTATTGTGACTATTGTTTGGGATCAAAGAAACCACCGCAACTACAGTCCAACACAGAAGACCGACGCCCCCATAAGCAAAACCCAGCAATATACTTTGTTTGGGGTCAAAGCAACCACTGCAAGTACAGCCCCACACAGTAGATTGACCCCCATAGGCAAAACCCAGGTATGGACTTTGTTTGAAATCAAAGCAACCACCACAACTACAGCCCAACACAGAAGACCGACACCCCCATAAGCAAAACCCAGCTATGTATTTTCTTTCAGGTCAAAGCAACCGCTGCGACTACGTCATAAGCGCAACTCAGCTATGGACTATTGTGACTNNTCAAAGCAACCACTGCAAGTACAGCCCCACACAGTAGATTGACCCCCATAGGCAAAACCCAGGTATGGACTTTGTTTGAAATCAAAGCAACCACCACAACTACAGCCCAACACAGAAGACCGACGCCCCCATAAGCAAAACCCAGGAAACAACCTCCTTATCCAGAAAGATTATCGCCGCCTGTAAGCAAAACCCTGTTTGGGGTCAAAGCAACCACCGACTGAAGCAAAAAGATTGCTTTTGGGGTTCAGGTAGGGTTAAGTTAAGGGCAAGGATTCAGGGTGGTACGGAGGAAGGGTCAGGGTCAAGGGTTAAGATTTTGCAGGGTTGGCGCGCTAGGGTCTAGAGAGGGTAGGGCTTAGGGCTTAGGATTTGAGGCCTAGGGAGCGCTTTGGACCCTAAACCCTAAACCCTACACCCTAAACCCTAAAACCCTAAACCCTAAAATTTAAGGCGTTGAGGTTGCTCACAGTCTGCGTTCCATGTGTCTGCGCAACAAATGCTGCGGAAGCTAGCAAGTACAATGAACCCTTGCAAAAAAGGTACGATAGGACAAGATCTCCAGGACTCCATTGAAAATTGGCAATGGCTCCTATTGCCTATACAGAAAAGAAAGAGCCACCTCAAGCCCACTTTGCAGCAAGGTTCTGAGCCAAAGAGACCCCTCCATTCAAGATAGGATGTCGCTCATTATACATAATAGACCTTCTGGTGACCCTGAAGCAGCAGAATCCCAATCTTCAAGGTGCCAATCAATCATACCCCAATTGCTGAACCTTTAAAAAGTCCTGCAAATCGACGCGTCAATCTAGCTTCTTTACCCCTGTGGGCCCCTCACCAATCCCTTGATCCCTCCTAACCTTGTCAATTGCCACCCCCAAAACTAATGGGCTTCTACAGGTAAAAAATGAAGTTTTTGCAGACCCCAGTTTTGGTGCCCAAAAGGTGGGTTTGTCGAAGGTGGGATCGGGACTATGAGCCTTAGATTAAGTTTCCTTGGGAGCAAGCATACTAGCATTAGTGGTTCGGGGTGAATAGCCCAATCCAAGAGGGTTCCCAATATGAATGTATTGCTGGCGTGGCCTCCGGGAAGACAGGCTTCTTCTGAAGAAGTGCTCCGCGCTGCCGAATGACTTCAGCCGCAAATCGTGGTGGATAGATCCTAAGCTTCAACGTGAATTCTTCCTTCAGCAGGAAGGGCTTGTAATTCAGACTCAGAACAAAGTGCACTGTCAAACGAGAATCCGACTGTTCTTCAGGGAATCCCCCCCCTTGAAGCACTTGCGCCCTGTCTTGTCAGTGTACGTCTCTGCTGCCTGTTTCCGCACAGACTTCCTGCTTAGCTTGCCACCATGGAAAGCTTTCAACCCTCTTGAGTTTGACCAAAGAAGGGTTGGCTTGGCACAGTCGTGCCCGTAGCTATGCATCCAAAATCGTAGCTTGTAGACCTAAGATCGATTTTCAGGCAGCGCAAGGTCACGCAAGATCGGATCTATTGTTTGCATGTCTGCACAGCTTCTCCCAGCTAAGCAGCTGGGGAAATCTTTCGGGACAGGATTTGATAGACGTAGCGAAGCGCAATATGACCTGCAATAACACTGGACGCTGGCTGCTCCAACAGGACAACTCCTCCCATCGCTATCGCCAAAAGGATCATGAGGCTACACCTCAAGGGCAAGTTTGCAGGCAAGGCTGAGATTTTCGATGAGGGGAATAAAGGGAAAGGTTTGGAAATTGTCTTCTACAAAACCATGCCTTGAAACAAGTTTATTCGCCAGGTACACATGAAGGGAGATAGGTGTTCCCATTGGGAAGAACTCGCTTCGTAGTGTGGATCCTGACGAAGTTAGAACCCAGGTCGAACAGGGGACCCCCATGACCAGCATGATATCATCCATTCGGCCTTGCAGAAGCAAGCATAATGCCAGCCTTGGTTTCGTGACAAGGTTTGTGTTTGTGCGTACAACACAGCAAATCAACAAGGCCAGCATTACGCAGAGCCACACAAAGCCAGCAGAAGTGTTCACATCAAAGGACGAGGAATCATTTTTGTCAATAGCTGCTGTAGCAAGTCCCACATGCTTGGCGAGCCTTGCAATACGTCCCACCCCAGAGAAGAAATCAATGAGCTGGTAGTGGTCAAGCTTGTCAACGAAGGATTCCTTCAGGTGCCCAATGAGGATAATCAGGTAGATGAAGTCCTTGCGCATTAATTTGCTTCACTTGCAAAAACTGAAGCTAGACATGAGCACCTTTGCAGTCGTGTGGCCCGAGGTGCTCCCAGCCACACCAAGCGAAGAATCACTTTCCGGAACTTCTCATTCAAGGGCTCCCAACCATTCGCCGAAGAATCCATTCTCAGAAAAATATTATGTTACTGCAAAAACAGACATAAACAATGCCACATTTTCTTCAGCTAACTTGTTGCAGAGCAAGAGCGTCTGCAGTAGACACATGCCAAGAAGTCAGGGCTGTAGGCAACACGTCTCAAGCAACCCGAGGCACCCTCAAACTTGCCAGGGCGGCGATCCTTTGTGATCACGCGGTTTTTGACATACACCATCATTCCAGGCCGTAAGCCAGACATACCGGATGAAGGTACCTGCCAAGTTTTTGGTATGAAGCGTCATGTAATAGCAACACAATTATTATCAACAGCCTGTGCAACTGGCGGATTTTTTCTGACCTTGGAGCATGAAAGATACCTCTCCCATCCCGGCAGCTTTGCCAGGTTCTAGAAAGAGTTACCCCAGCCGATTCTGAGGCGGCGAATCGGACACTGTGGAACGATCACTGCTGGCACACGGCAAGGTCTTATGCTCCGACGAAGCAGCTTGTTGATAATATTATGTAGGAAACTTATTTCCAGCCGTTCTTTGACACCAAAGCCTTGTTCTCCAGCAGGATGGTTGCAAACCCCAAACAGTCACTGAAGCTCATCAAGCAGCTCAGCTTGCCAGATAGCCTTGGATTCAAGCCCCCATGGCAGAGTGATCAGATAAGTTCAGGGGTTTGGTCATGCAAAATGAGAGCATCAGGACTGTTCTCCCTGTAATTAGTAGGGGTGATGTTGCTAATCAAAAGCAATTAATGTGGCCAATCTCCCCGAGCTGCTTTGTGTTTCCTCCAGGGCAAGGTAAAATCTGGCGGCCTTGTTGCAAACTTGCCGCAAGTTAGTGCCATCCACAGAGCCATGCTCCTTCATGTACTCCATAGCATAGTTCCAGAACTTCACCTGCAATTGAAGATGTACACAGAAACCTACACGGAGGACGGAGGAGCTAAAAAAAGGCAAAACGCCCAGCCTCAACAGTAGAAGCCTGAGTCACATGCCCTGAGATGTGAACGAAGAACGCCTGTCTTAGCTCATCCCAACGCTTCCCAGCGAAGACACACTTCTCTGGACGGTATCGCCTGGCAAATGTGGATTTTGTCATCCGGTCGGCAGCTTCGGCATTCTCATTCCCATCATCATCATCATTCAAGGCTTTGTTGGGCTTTGGCTTCACGCAGCCATCATCATCTTTCTTTGGCTTTGGGCCAGGCTTCTTGCGGGTGGGAGGCTGCTTGTCTTGGTCATCATCACGCATGCTCAGCTCCTTTTCCGCAGCCTTCTCCTCGTTGGTTCCGTCATCATCTTTGGATTCCTCCTTGGCTCCATCATCTGAGGAAGGCTTGCCTTTGCTCTTTGCTTTTGCTTTGCCCTTCGCTGCTGACTTGGGTCTTCCTTGGGCTTTTGCTTTGGCTTTTGCCTTAGCTTTTGCCTTAGCTTTCGCCTTCGCTTTTCCCATCGCTTTTGCCTTTGCTTTGCATTTTGCTTTAGCTTTCGGCTTCGGCGTTTTGGACTTAACATCCCCATTCTCATCGTGATCCGCGTCTACTCCCATCCCCTGGAACTGCTCCGCACGGGTAAGAAAACTAGTTGGCTGCGCATTGAAAAGGTCATCATCATCATCATCATGATCATCTTTTGCTTGCAGATCCGCTGTCATGCCTTGGATAGGGCTGCTGGGTGGCATGTCTTTGGGGCTGGTGGCCTTCTCTTCCTTAAGGCTGCTGGGTGGGATGTCTTTGGGGCTGGTGGCCTTCTCTTCCTTAAAGCTGCTGGGTGGGATGTCTTTTGGGCTGTCTGCCTTCTCTTCCTTAAAGCTGTTGGGCGTGATGTCATTGGGACTGTTTGCCTTCTCTTCCTGAAAGCTGCTGGGAGTGATGTCTTGGGGGCTGTCGGCCTCCTTTTCCTGGGAGCTGCTAGGCTTGACTTCCGGGGGGCTGCTGGTCTCTTCCTTAAAGTTAGGGACCTTGTCTGTCTTCACCGCAGAGGCTGCCGCATCAAACTTCAATCTCAGGTTACGCGCTATAGGGGACAAGTCCATAGGTTGGGTGTCCTCGGTGGCTGGTGCAATTGACACAGGAGGCTCCGGGCCCTTGCTTGGCCGCGCACACAAAAGAGTTCGGCGGCGCTTCGCAATCTCTTCCCTCACGTCAGGCAATCAAAACTCAGAGCTTCAAAGCAAGCATATACGACTGAAGATCTTTTAAGCAGGTATGGCCTTAAGTATTGCATGCGCTTCAGCTTCGCCGGATCTCCCTGCGCAACCAAACGCCTCTGCTTCTTGCAGGAAGGACCTTCCTTTCGCGGGCTTGGGGACTCCTCGATAAGGACAATCTCCTTACGATTTTCTTGAGGCCTCTCATCCTGGGGGGCTTCCTCCTTGGGTGTCTCCTTCGCGGCATCTACTGCCCTATCATTTTGGGGGCTCTCGTTAGCCTCTTCAGGGGGCTTGTCATCATGCTTTGCCTCCTTCGCAACTTCCAAGGGGATCTGGGGTAACTCCTCTCCATCCTGTAGAGGTGGCTGTGAGCTGCAAGCGTTGGTTGGGGTCAGCTGCAAGCCCTCCAAATGCGATGTGAGCCCTGTGTGTAAGGATTCCGAAGAGCCCCCTAAGCCACTCTTTGAGTCTTCCGAAGGTGCAGCTTGAAGCGCTCCCAGCTGCGAAGCCAAATCTTCATCATCAAAATCAGAGTCGTCAAAAACACAGTCCGGTTCCGAGGCACATTCATCCTGCTCATCATGCTGTTCATCACATGCTTTCTCACCAGCAGTCTTTGGGTCGACGTAGAAATGCTTTTGGATTTCATCATACAACTGCTCAATGGCTGGATCCTTAGATACACTTGGGGCGCTTTGGGGCACTGGTTAACCAAAACACCCACGCACACACACATGCATACACACAGACACGCAGCACAACTGTGCAATGCAACTTGGGCACATGTCGTTTGGAACCATCATGTCGCTTCACAAGGTAGGTGACAAATGACCGGAGGCTCTGAGCATCGCAGGCCACCCTAACTTTATCCTCCTGGAGGCCAGCTTCTTTCCGAAAGAGCTTCACCTGCCAGAATGAACAAGGATAAACTACGGTCCAACAGAGATCAGCTTTGACACGAACTAATTTTTGCAGTGCATGTAATGCCACACCTCCCTTCTTGCAGCAAACACATTGATGGTCTTCAATGTATCCAGCTGCGGCAACCACAGACGAAGGAGCCGAAGCAACACCTTAGAGTTGTAAGTCATCGTTTCAAACGTGATCACCCCAGTCAAAGCAGGCGTGGGCCACTGGAGCACGGAGTCATTCCGCAGCGCAGCTTGCCGGATTGCCCTGCACTTTTCCCATGCCGCAGCAAGCCCCGAAAGGGCATTAACATCAGGAAGCTTCGACCCCTTCCTTGGCATGGCTGCCTCACGCAGCAAGCGCCCTGGAGCTTGGGTCTAAAATTGCAGCACAAGAAAACCGACATGCAAGCGTCTGCCTTGCACATACAATTCCACCGCACTGAACCGGCATAGCATGGAGAGTCCGCAAAGCACTCGCAAAAAGGGGCACTTGAGGAACAGCCACGTGACGCCCAAACGATGAGCGCAAGTACCACACCTGAGCACTGAGGTTGGGGCATCGAATGAAATCAAAATCCAGAGAAATGAGTTTGAGTGCAAGGCCTTCCAAGAGGTCAGTAAGATGACACCAAAAAAGGTCGCTGCCAGCCAGGACCTGCGAGGGTACGCCAGGCTTTAGTTGAAGCAATAAGTGAATTTCTGAACTGGCTAACGCTTGCACAAGAAGCAGGACACTTGTTTTCCTACAGAAGCCACGTACAAGTTACGCATAGGCTCCACTCTTTTCCTGTGGTAGTTGCTTAGTGCTGTGCGGCAACTTCCCCCACCCCATCCAAGGTATGGCCCCACATGAATGGCTCTTCATCGCCATTCAGCATTGCGCTGCCTGAGCTTTGGGGTGTAGGGCGCTGGGCTTTAAGTTGCTTAGGCAAAGGGCTTGGTTTTGGGGCATTGAGGTTAGGGTTTCTACTGTGGCGGCAACGCGTACAATACAGGCTTACCCAAGTCAAGCTAGTCAAGCCAGGTCACTGTTGCTTTGCGTAGCACCACAGCTAGGTAGTAGCAGCTTCCGCGCAAGTGGTAGTTCTCTAGCAGGTGCCACACATTGGCCTCTGGGATTTTCTCATCCTGACAGGAATCAATCATTATTGGTGCTTTTCTTAAACAATCTTGGTAAGTATAGGATAACCTTAGCCAAGTTTTCCCAGCACCTGCGTTGCGACACCATGGACCACCGCATTGCAGCGAATCCAGAAAAGTTCAGGCATCGACTCCAGGCCTGATGAATGAGATGGGGATCAAGGCATTTGTATTTCCAAATATCTTGCTCAAAACTCGGGCCTGCTTTCTTGAGCTCAACCACCAGAGTATCGGAAAGGGGCGCAGCAAAGGCCATGAGGCTTCTGAAGAACAGGGACCTCTAGCGTGGCCTTGATCCTAAAATCTCCTAGAACGATAAAATCAAGAACATGGAGTGGTCATTTGCAACTGTAGCAGCATCCTGCAGGCACACAAAAGCGGAGGGGGTTCAGGCCTGGAAGATCCAAGCATCGCAGCCAGCTACGTGCGATCTAACCTAGAAGAACCGATGCTTCCTTGCAAGGACATCTAAACCCAATCTGTACTTTTGCAAGGTCTCCAGAAATCCCGGACTACAGCTCCATAACCTGAAAGAATCTACTGCTGTGTAGGGTCTCCTTACATCCCACACCACAGTTTGTCCTGGAAACCTGCAAGAAAACAAGATCTAGTTGGTTAAGATAATTTTCAGCATCCCATACTATGATTGTCGTCGTTGGAGTGCGGAGAAGTGTTGACGAAAGCTTTCTTTCCTTCTTGATGGGCGGCAAAGCTTCAACATGTTGCTTCTATTGCAAGAAATTATGGGTAATCGGGTTATTTGAAGGCCCTAAAATATCACATAGGGGAATTCAGCCCGAGCTAAATCTCATAAAACACCTAAAACAGGGATTTCAGCCCGCAGGCAGAAATTCTGCCCGAGGTTGGAATAGTCGTTTTTCCCTGCTCAGTCTGTTATTCCAGTCTGAACGAGGGATGCAGGTATATACACACACATACATGTACGCACGCATTCGTGGAGTCTCCAGCAAATCTGAACCCTCACAACACCCAGCCCTAAGGCGCAGGGTGAGTGGTCTCTGTGGGTGCATTATGCGGCAAGAGCCCCATTCGAGCAGCTGTCAAGAGCGTGGCTTCCAACAAGTTTCATGATGACAGAGGGCTAGCTGCTTCGTGCAGGATCTCGTCAAATCCACAGTGCAAGCTCAAGCCCAAACATGTGTAAGAGAGATAGGGCTGGAGCCCTTTTTGTATAAATTTTGTGATCAGTACCCGCCTTTGTTGTTTAGCTCCTTGGTATAGTGTAATACCACAAGTTCTTAGATCCATGGTAAATAGGGGTCACCTAGGGAAGGGGGCGGTGGTAGGAGAACCTTTGATAGCATAGGTGTATGAGACGACACTCTACCACACAGTGATTTATGGTTTTCTTGTGCATGTAAATAGGTTTGCTGTTGAATGTAGCGAAGTGCGCATGTATGGGGAGGCTTTCTGGAACAGTGATCCTGCATCTGTGAAAACCTCAACTCCCCACAACTACCTACTAAGCAACCCACTGGGTTGACCTTTGGGGTACTTAAATATTCTCCCTAATTGGTTTCATAAGGACCCTAAACCCTAAACCCTAAAAATAGAATAAACCCTAAACCCTAAAAATAAAATGAACCCTAAACCCTAAACCCTAAACTAAGATTTTTCAAAGGGCTCCAAAGGCCAACCAAGCCCAGATAATGCCTTTGCAGCCCGAGAAGTCCTCTTCAACCCTTTGCGGCTCAGAGCTTTGTGCTTATGGGTTTAGGGTTTAGGGTTTAGGGCTTAGGGTTTAGGGTTTAGGGCTTAGGGCTTAGGGTTTAGGATAGCCTAGTTACCCATAATAATGGGCTACTTTAACCCAAAGTAGTAGGAAATTAGGGGAAAGTTGCCTATGATTATGGGTAACTGGCTTTCTAGGTAGGGTTTAGGATTTAGGGTCCACCGGACAACAGCCCCTTTCAAATCAAAATTTCCAAGGAGGGGGTGTCCATTGTATACCCTACATTAGGTAATAGTACCCCAATATACCATAGTAGTTTCCATCTTATTTTCCATTCTCCCCATATATCCTCATATAGAATATTTATGGCTCTCAAAATTTCCGGGGCTCTCCCGAGGGATCCTGGGTTTGCTGGAAATCCTTATAGTCCCCCTTAAGTAGATAGAGTATGGGGGTCGTGTTATAATCTACCCAAAGCCATATTCTATCTACCTAAGGGGGACTATAACCACATCCACACATATTCCGTCATAACTCGATGTATACCTTTACATCCCTACTTTTCCCTACTCCCATTAGAGGATCTGAGTTCTGCTTTGGGGAACCGCTAACCAAAACCCTCGCACCCAAACTTTAAACCCTGAGCCCGAAACCCGCTAATCCCGCGACTCTAAGTACTAAAAGCTAAACCCTAAGTCCTAAAGCCGAAGGCCAAGGCCTTAAATCCCCAAGCCCAAGCCTTAAACCCCAAAACCACAATCCCCAAGCCCTAAACCGCAGAACACAATCCCCAAAAACCTAAACCCTAGCAAAGGTACAAGACTACGAAGCGCTTCGGAGTCGATGGTGGTGAGGCATCCACGGAATCGGTAAAAACACGGATTTCCTCTCCCCTCAGTCCTTAAGGCTCACTGGCACAAATACAGGGTTTTAGGGTTTGTGGGATGTAGGGTTTTCGGGTTTCGAGTTTCAGGAGTTACCCTAAACCCCAGACCCCAAACCCTGAACCCTGGGCTTTCAAACCTCAGGGAAAAGCATATGGAACTCGAAAAGAGGGCTAATCAAGGGGGCCATATTTGAGGTGGTTTGTTCGAGGGCAGGGGTTCAAGCGTTTTCGGCTTATGGATTCAAGCTGTTGTTTGACTTGCAGGCTACGGGATGCAAGGGTTTCGTGAAGGGTTGCAGGGGGCCGGCCTTTACTGCTTAGAGATAGCGTAATTACGTTTCAGCTGCAAAGTAGCTGCTATGAAGATAGCGTTTGGGGGTTGCGGTTGAGGGTCTGGGCTTGAGCGCGCAACATTCAGGGTTTCTGGGCCTGGCGTAGCGCTACATCCCATCTATGCACTCGGCATGACATGCGGGTCTGACTCTCTCACGTTCTAAAAAGCATACAGGTGGCCCAAGTTTTGAATCTGAAGACCCACAATGCGGACGCGGCACAGCAAGCTTCATGCTGTTTTACCCAATTTGAAATGGAGGTTGTCCAGGGATCGTCCGATATCTGAGAGTCATAAGGAGATCATGGGCTTCCCCTGAGGGCAAATTTGCGATTCTGTTTGAGAACCTACGTAACATGATATACCTGAACTACATGCCTTACAGCACTTCATGCAGCTCTGGCAAGCCTCGCCCAAAACCCTAACACGACTCTCATTCCTAAATCCGGCCTGGAACCTCCCGCATCCTGAACAACCCTAAACCGGAAAACAAATACATGCTACATGGGGCAGGTCAATTTTGGGGTCCCCAGCACATGTGGGGTTGTATAATAACCCCGCTTGTCTACGTTATGTAAGGAGTGTCTTAAGAGAGCGGTTGACCTGTAAAACGATAAGGAGTAAAAAAAACGATAAGGTTCAGTTTTATAATGGCCGATAAAAGAAGAATATATATATA